AAAGTTCTAGCAGCCGGATGGACAATGTCCAATAATTTGAGGATTGTGGCACCATCGTTGGTGATCTGGGCGTCGCCGCGATCGGAAACAATCAGCTTGTCCATTCCCCTCGGTCCCAGGGTGCTCGACAGAGTTTCTGCGATCGCGAGACATGCGGAGATGTTAGAAAGCAGTTGGGGATTTCCTTGCGATGTGTCTGTGCCCTCCCGGAGGAGGACAACCGTGGGTTGCTACAAAGTGTCTGAGAAAACAGGCTCAGTGTCCAGTGAATAATCCGCACCATCGGAAGACCGCGCTGCATATTTTTCAGGGAAGGTCGTCGTTCGCAAAAAGCAGAATGTCACGTGAGCAACGCGTCGCGAATTCTTGACCCATAACGGGCGCAAAAAAAGTAGAAACACAAGTCAAATAGGCGCGCAGCTGAAGCATACTAGGATGTATTCAAATAACATTGACGCGCCCGCTCAATCGAATCTTTTCCCATTCCTTCTTGCCTTTGACCTGGCTCATCCAGAAAGCTTTCTCGTCCTCCATCAAAATCGCACCGTTCCCTCGTGCAGGCATGTACTCCTCCAATAGCATATCCACGAGGACGAGAAGTACGCGACCCACCTCGTCCTTCCCCCCTAAAGCCCAGGCCCCAGAGAAATCAAGCTCTGAAAGCCGCGCGTCGCACCAATTCGTCTGGGTTTCACTCTCTGCGCCGCGTGGGCTGTGGAGATGCTCCATTATCCCGTTCGCGTTGAGCCATCCCAGCTCGTGCTGGATACCAGTGGGGTCCGCGTCATACGCCGCAATGGCCCGCCGTATCCGCAGCGCCAGTTCGCCGAGGGAAGCCTTCTGAAAACCGTTGGCGGAAATCGGAGGGATAAGAACCGCCGAGGAAGCGTTGTTGATGTACGGTTCACTGAGGGTGGACGCGCCACTGAAGATGCGCTTTGTTCGCAGATCGACGGATATGTGGATCCAGATGGGCGTTTCGTCGTCGCTCTTGCGGTGGTCGTAGTTCGTCTGCGAAGAAATTAGAGACGCATGGCAAGAGACCCTGATCAACCGACCTTGAGCCACCACGCCATGAGGGTATCGGACGTTTCTACCCGCTCGCTGGATCCCTGCAGCTTCAAATTACGCATGATTTCGCATCTTCTGTCTTCCAGATATGCCTTCAGCACTCGAATGAGCATGCCTTCCTCCGGATCTCGCAGCATGGACCGCAGCCACAAGCCGAAAGAATTAGGTGCCCGTCAAAGCCGAAGAAGGGGACGCGATATCCATACCCACGTACACCGTCTATCGACCTATATTCTTGGAAACTCTCGAAGGGCGCTACATCCCATTCCATGCCCTGGATTGCTTAAGACGGAGACGTGAACATGGAGGATGGGTGTGTCGAGGACCAGGAAGTCTGCGAAATATTTGGGGCATTCTTTGCTCCGCAGACACGTCTCCAGGGACGGGAGTGGGCAAAGGAGCGGCTCAGAGTCGGAGGAGTTCACAAGTGTCGAATGTCCGGCCGAGCAGGCGACGAGTACGGTTCACGATAATGATGTGCAGTAAATGCAATAGGCGGGTGGTTCGAGTCGAAGGTGCAGGGTATTTGAAACTCCAAGTCCTTCAGAAATGTTGAATGATATTGAAGCTTGTGAGATAAGACTGCGTATGCATACCCAATTTGTTTCAGTAAGGTTGGCTTCTGCTCTCGGAAACTTGCGCAACGAGCATCGACAGTCTCCGTTCCAGTGCTTGAGGCTCCAAAGAGGTATCAACGACAAGACCGAGGGTCAGTACTCTATCCTGCGCTCACATATCCAAGGCCGAGTATGGCACAATACGCATATTTGGAGGTGCAGGAGTTGGTGCAGGAGTCTTTGGATCCGAAAAAAGGTCCGAAAGACTCGATAAGACACCAGAGAACATGATGAGTGGTATCTCTCAGTCAGTGCAGTATATGTGGTCTCGGAGGAAGTCAAAGCATCGAGGAGCCCCTTGGCGAGTGTCTAAGACGTCGATTGAGGAGATAAAAATCTGGAGGAACAATAGCGGCGGAAAGAGTTCCTTCAATGGTGCCTCAGCACTTGACTTGTGCCCCCAGATAATAGTATTCGTGTCATTTGACCTCTTCGTCCATCTTGCGTCCACCAGCCTTGAGGTTCTTGCTCGGTAAGTGGAGACATGGGACGGGGGGTGGTGTGAGACACTTGGAGTGCAATCTAGCGACTGCGATCAAGTAGAGACGTAAGGAATTAGGAGACTCGAAAGACCAGTTGCGGTAGGTAATAGACCTCGCTTGGTGTCTCGTAGACAGACGCTCTATAGAAATCAGCTCGCTGTATTATGGACCTCGCCATAATGCAGACGAAAGAAAATTGTCTCTGGGCGAGAACAAGTCGAGAATCAGGTAACGAAGGGTTTAGAATACCAGATCAGAGAACGATTCCGTTGGGATTCGGGAATCCGGGAGATTTGCTTTGGAGTTGAACGTTGAACGTGAACGTTGAACTAGTACTTTGCAAACCGAAATAGGCAGCACCGCCACTCTTCTTGGAGTCTGCACTGCCCTGGAAACGTCGGCGTCTACGACCTTTTCTCTTCGTTACCTCGCCTTCCTTTTTCAATTTGTGCCTTTCTGAAGGAGAATAGAGGATTCATGGGCTGTATTCGCCCCGCAACCCCTGGCTTTATTCTAACGACCCTTGCCACGGCTCTCCTGGCCGTTGTATCCTTCTGTGTCCCCTACTTCAAGTCCGTCTACTTCCTCAAGGCCGATCTATCAGTCAGTGGCATCTCAGGGAGCATCACATTCGGCACTTTGGGCTATTGCGTCGAGCTCAACAACGGTACAACCTGCTCAAAGCCGTCGGTGGGATATGAGCTCGGTGAGTCCTATTCTCACTGTTTTACGCCGTTTTCCGACTCGGTTAGACATCAACGGTCTTGTGGGCAACGATCTCCCCATTCAAATACCCAACGTCGTAGTCAAATGGCTGACATACGTGCTGGTATTGCATATCGTTGCACTGGCCCTCGCGGCCGGTTCGGCGGTTTTTGGGCTGCTCGCTCATTTGCGCGAGATGGCGATGACCTGCTGCAGCACCTGTATATCAGGCTTCGCAGCCGCGGTCGCTCTGATAGCGTTCATCTTCGATCTCGCCTTCTTCTTCCTTGCCAAGTCCCGCATCAACTCCGTTGGATCCGCGTCCATTGGGAACGCCATCTGGCTGACCTTGGCCGCCTGGATCCTCCTGTTCTTTAGCGGCTGCTTCTACACCGTGGGCCGCTGTTGTATGTCTAAGCGCCAGAAGCGTGGTGACTGGGACAGACGACAGGAACCCCCTCCACCTGGTGCCGGCGACCAGATGCGCCTCGATGCTGTCAAAGCCGAGGCCGACCGCAAGGCGCGCCAGAAAGCGAGCGAGGGTGGCCTGCCCGCCTTCCACGAGAGTCAGCCCCTTACGAGCGCTGCATATGATGACCACGGTAACCTCTACACCGACAAACCACCAACGCCCGGCGGTTACATGCAGGCGCCCCTAGGCACCCGCGCAGTGGATCAATACTACAATAACAATGCAGGGCCTGCGGGGTATAATAACGCCTCTGCCGCATATCCCCCTTCCCCACATGGCCAGCAGCGCCAATATGCGCCCTCCGCGTACGCGCCGTCGACGTACAGTTACAATGCCCCGCAGCAGTCAACGGCGTACCCTCCCCAGCAGTACCAATCCACACCGCCTCTCCAGCACAGCATGTCCCCGCCGCAGCAATTCCACTCCACGCTCCCGCCCGACCGGATTATGTCACCGCCGCAGCAATACGCTGCCGTCGGTGCCATGCACACGGGCCAGCAGCCGAATCCCTACCTCGACCCTGCCCCCAATAACCAGTACTTGGGCGTTGGGGGCCACGCGCCTCGCGACGCATCCAACCCGTACCTCGGCGTCGCGGGACACGCCCAGCGCGACACGTCGTACCACTCCGCCGCGACACACCACGGGGGCGATTACTCGCAGTACGATCCGTACGACGACGCCGGCGCGCAGCAGCCAGCATCCGCGTATTATACGCCCCAGACGCAGTATCCCCAGTCCTCGTACAACTCCTCGCCTCAGCAACAGCCACAGTCGCAATACTCCCCCCAGGTTGAGTCCCGGCCACAGACGCAGTACCATGCGGAGTCGCCGCGGGGCGATGGGTACGGGGCGAACAGCGTCCCGCCGCTAGATACCGGTGGCTACTTCCCGTATGCGTACGGGCAGGACCAGAAGGCGGCTGCGAGCTCGTCAGCGTCTACGGTCCCGACGAGCCCGACGTCGCCCAAGGGCCCGCGGAACCATCGCCAGTCGCTGCGGGCGATGAACCACGATGAGGAGGACAGCCCGCCGCAGTACGATGCGGGCGCGTCGGAGCACATACCTGGTGCATTCGGGAAGAACTAGATACCATTTTTACTGCGCTGCACTATTTGCTATTTAATGACCAACCTAACCTTTTGTTTTATTACGCAGTAACGACCTGTAACATGCATGGACTTCGAGTATGTAGCTGTTATGACATTTTCTTCTGCCTTGTAGAATCACCTCAAAACTTTGAAGCCACGACACGATATCTGGCCGGGGAAGGTCTCCAGTCTTGAATTGTACTTGCCCGGAAAGTGTCGTCTCGATTCCCAACGCGCGAGGTCTGCGCAGACGTCTTGAACGGCCCATTTGCGCCGGTTCTTAAGATGCTGGTGTGCCAACGGCTTGAGCTGCCCAGGCTTCCCACTAAAGCCCGAGGAGCTGAGGCGCGAGGCCTTGATGCGTGGAGATCTTCTGTAGTCCCTCGTTGAGGGCTTGAGGCTCGGGATGTTGGCACGCGGCTTGCGTGCGGCTTGAGACGCATTTGAAGAGTTGGGAGGTGTTGAGGCGGCGTGGAGCTTGACACGTCTTCAAGTCTTCAAGTCTTGAGCAGCGTCCCACTGAGGTCTTTAGCGGAGTGCCGAGCGAGCTGCTCGGCGAAAGTGCTTCCAGAGGGAATCGAACCCACAAGCTCGCCAGTCCCGACAGGGGTAATAGGGGTGTCGGTGCTGGAGGCGCATTACCAACTGTGCTATGAAGGCATGAAAACATAGGCTAGAGTGGCGAGTATATGACACCTGTGGCTGCGATCCGGCCGCAAAAGACATCGAGCGACTTCGATATGTTTCTCATGCATTGATTAGGCCGCACGATATCTTTTGACAACACCTTCGCAAGATTACTGCTTTGGGCTCGATATGTTTGATCCGTTGCGTAAATGGGGATATCAAACGCGTAGATGCGTAGATCTGCGTAGATCCCGCTAATCCCAATGGGTGACAAAATGGCGACAGCGAGGTATTGTAACAACAAACATAGCACGCAAAACATCTAGTCGAACAGCGAAATATCAGACTCGTCCATGCGGACCGGACTGCCTCCCAGGCTGACCCCGCACTGCTGGATGAACGCCAGCCACGCGGCATCCATCCCCGACTCGCTCGTCAGCCCGAGCTCCACCATCGCGTCTGCCCCGCTTCCGCTGCCGCCACCTGCCACCACCTCGCCCATATCCATCCTCATCCCCATCTGCAGTGCATCGAATTCAGGTCGGGCCACGCCAGCGTCTTGGGAGTAGAGCATGGCGTAGACGTCCTGCAAGACTCAGCACACAACAGATTAAAAGCCGAATAACCTACCTCAGGAATATCAGCAAGCCCCACCATCGAGTCGTCCATATTGACATTCATATCCGCGGCGACGAGCTCGTCCAACCAGGGAAACTCACCTCCCGCCCCGCTTATGCCACCCACCTCGGGACTCGCGGCAGTAGAATTAGAATTAGAATACCCCGGCAAAGCCGTCAGCGGGCTTGGAGGGTCCGACGTCGACCCCGACCCTGACACAGACTTTGACGCGGGCTTGCGCCGGTGCTTGTGCTTCAGCGCCAGCACGCGCGTCTGCCCGCCGAAAATCGCGAGCTCGTTCGCGACGGCGCCATCGGGGACCCCAGGCGACGGTCCTGTGGTGTGTTCGGCGACGGCGAACTGTGTGTAGGCGTTCAGCGCGCGCTCTTTCAGCTTGGTGAGGACCGCCTGCGATTACAATGAGCACATGCGGCGAGCGCCACGAGAAATGGGACCCACCAGTGCGAGCTTCGCACGGTGCGACTGTTTCGCTGTGCGCTCGAACAGTTCGACTGCGAGCCCCAGATCTAGTAAGGCGCTGGACGCGAAGTTCGACTGGGGCGACAATGTCACAACGGTCCCCGCAATTACCTCGCACATATTGTCAGCATGGAGCCGAGTAAAAAGATGAGGGACCTACCGCCGCGGAGAACGTCTGGTGCAGAAGGAACCAGACGCGCATCGCCATCTCGGCGTTGCGGTCAAACTGGTACGCGGTGCCCTTGATAATCACACTCGCCGACCGGTAGGCGGTGAGGAACGACGTTGCAAATGGGCTGCGCAGCGGGTTGGTGGGGAAATCGAGCACTGCCTGCGCGAAGAAGCTCCGGTGCAGATAGATCATCGCTGGAGCGCTGATTAGCAATTCTGCCCATTTCATCACGAAGCAAAAGCGACACACTGACTGCGCGGTATTGACCGGCATAGGCGCCACGCAGGCTCCCAGCGCTGGAGAAATACTCCTCTTCTCCATCCGCGCGAGTAGGATATCTGTGTGAACGTATACTCAGGTGGCGGGATGTGGTTATAGCAGTAGCCGCACGGTTTGTACGAGTCGGGAATACTCAACTCGCGCACACGACGGTCGAGCTCGAGCACAGTGTTGTATCCAGGAGGCTTCGCTGCCAGCGTCGCCTCGGTGAGTGCCATCCATATATCGCGCGAAAATTGGTATTTCGAGTGCCAGACTGGAGAAACATCAGTCAGGAGCTGGGAGAGAATGCAGGAAGGAACCGCGTACAGCCGGGTCGCACCCCATTGTCTATTAACGTGCTCTCCTCATCATCAGGGTACTCGCAATCAACATATGAGAGGTGGATCGCCGGTGGGCGACCTAATGCAAGACTCTAAAGGGTGAGAATCAGGGTGGTGTGTTTTTGAGATAGATTCGATGCGTACGTGGGAAACGTCCGCGGTAAAGACCTCCCAGAACAGGGACCTAGGCTTGTCAACTATACATCCACGAGAGAAAAAACAGTCGATAGACAAACCTGCGCATCTGTACCGTCTTTTGGTCCGTATACCACCGTGCGCTATCCCGATCTGCGTTGCTATGAGTGTGCGCAGCTCATGAATCGCTCCCGACTCACGCAGTCCTATCTAAATTGAGGGTGTCAGAAAATAATATCGACGCACAGGGTAGCAGGCGTACACTCTGTGCTAGTTTCGCAGCCATGCTCATGAGACACCATGCACTGTTTCGTGAGTATTTCTTCCCCGCATGGCTGTGGTACGTCGCCATCAGCCCAATCGCACGCACGGTGTCGACGAGGGGCGAGTCGTAGACGGCGTGTAGCCCGAGCGCTGCACGGCCCGCGCCGTAAAAGCACTCGGCTTCGGCGTTGTACGGCGGTAATCGCAGGTCAAGCAGGGCCCCGAGCGCGAGGACGAAGAACAATACCGCGTGCGCGTGCGGATCTCCCTCCATACCGTCCGGTGCGTAGATGGCCTGGAGAGACGGTCCCAGCAACTCGTCGCGCTTGATTGGGCGAAAGAAGAGCGCGCCGTGCAAGAGATACGCTTCACAAAGGTCAACCGCGCGTGCGTACGGTGGTAGTAGCGTCCGGATGTGTTGCAGTTTTGAAGCAAGCAGTCGTCCCGATGGAAAGACGTCGCCGATCTCCGCAATATCTCGGGGAACCGGTGGCTCAGTGTCCGACGCACCGTCTTCCTCGTCTGAGTAGTCTTCGGCCTGCAAAGTGGGTAAACTTTCAGAAAACACACAAAGTGAAGAAGTTCGACTTGCAACAAGCAGCGTTTCTGACCCTGCTGAGCGGCCGAAGTACTTGACCTCACCTGCATCGCCCAAGGTCAAAGTTCCGAGAGTATCAATAATGGCTGGGTCTTGCTCATGCGTTGAAGAATCCGGGCGCGCCGGTGCTTGAGCTGCGAACTTGATGCTAAGGAGATCGATGGCGAGTAGCGGATGCCGCTCATTTGATACAACAGCCTGGAGAATTGCTAGGGCTTCCTCCAGCTGGCGTATACGCTGGCTCATCTCAGCTATCTTTGTGTGCAGTTGGTCCGTGTCGGCCAGAATGAACCTTGGGTGTGATCCTTCAATCAAAGCAACTCAGTTGAGAAATATGCTAACAGCACCTCGTTCCCTGCCCGGCCGACAAATTTCCTGATGCATGTAAGTCTGCAAATCTCGAAGCGGGAAGTATGTAATGTCACCCAAGGGGCAGATGCTCTCGCATCCTCGGCGCACACACGATCCACACGGTACGCTCTTGTCACATTTTAATTTGAGTCTCCTGCACTCTGGGACCGCGTTGTGATTCAAAGTATGCTTGGAGTGGTACCGATATACCTGCGCACGACAATTCCCCTCGAAGTCGCTTCAATTCGAGATCTTTCTGTTCCTCCTCGGTCGCTGGCCGCCGGGGAGGACGGCGTACAGGTGTCTTTCCAGTCGTGTCGACAGGCATGCTGCAAGGTTTCCAGAGAGCAAAAGACCCAGATTTCCAGTGGTATCCCTCAGTTACTATAGGCTGCTTCAAGAGAATGTAAGCAAGATCTCAGGATTCTCGCGCAGACCGTGAAATTCGCGATGAGTTGGTTCAATCTTCAGAACGAGGTTGCGAGTGGGAAGTCAGGGCAAGAGACTAGGTTCAATCTAAGTTGCCGACAGGTTCGGCAACCGGTCCGTCATCCCGCCTCCCGAATCTTGTTCACAACCACGAGTTTCTGACCTCTTCCCGGAGCTGGTTCATTACATTGTTTCTTTTCTCACCCGAAAGACACTTCTTGACCCAGACCAGTATCTGCGAGACTAAAAATCCCGAGAGCCAGAGCTCGTTCCCGACCTCCCTTCCATAAACGCCCTCTCAAGGCCCCGTGAAGCTGCACCAAAGGATGGTTCAAAAAATTCCCAAAATTCGGCCTCAAAAAGCTTAAGATTTTGGCGGATTTGGGCGTAGAAAAGCTTAAAAGTTACACATGGACAGTACCTGGGCCGTGCCCTCCGCAATTCGATGAGACTTGGGAGCCTGGAAATCTCCCGATACCTTGTAGCCGAGGGAGCCGACATAAACTTCCTCGATGACCCTGATGAGGGTGTCACCCCACTGGCCCTTGCCGCAAGAACCGGCAACGTTGAACTCGTGCAGTTGCCTGACCCGAATGCGCATACCGTCTATGGATTCATTCCCCTCTTCGTCGCTGCCAACATCGATATTGTGCAGACACTACTCGCCGGAGGTGCAAACGTTCATATCACGGGCATCAGTTCGCAGAACCTTGCAATCATCGATAATGTCGAGATGCTCCGCCTCTTCCTCCAACGCGGAGTAGACCCGAATCGCGCCGATACTTGGGGACGGACACCCCTTCACAATGCTTGTTTATCCAATGATGGTGCCAAGAATGCAAAGGCACGCGTCGAGTTCCTGCTTCAGTTTGGAGCCCACACGGTCGAAAAAGTCAACGAAGGTGGAGTCACACCCGTGGATTATGCGATGCAGAAGGATTACTCGGAGGTTGTGAAAACCCTCGAGCCCCTTGTCCAGGATCCTGAACTCAAGCTGAGGATTGCGGAGTGGTGGGAAAAACCCATCTTATCTATTGCATTTATTGCACCCTGCTCTTTATGCCCTTGACGGTGAACAACCTTTCCGCAATGGTACCTTTTGACCACACATTTGTGCTCCACACGTAAATTTCTCCCTCTTACAAGCCCACGAAGAACTTGCGGCTCGGAACCCAATCAGACCAGCGCAAGAATTTGCCCGCTTTCAAAATCTCTAGAGGGTAACCAAAAGGACATGGGAATGTTGTCCGGCCGCTAACTTTCACCAACAATTGGGTACTACGCGCATATAATTTAAAGATAGCTATAATTTCGGCAGACTCGGGGGATTGTGCAGACTTTCGAAGATTTGTCTGGCTACGGCTCACAGTTTAACGGCGGGAAG